GAACATTGAAGATACAAATTCTGGTCACACTGACCTGAGTTCAAAACTCTGTTCTATTATCATTTTAGTTGCCTTAGATGGGCTACTTAAATGCTTTTAGTCTTGGTTTTCTTATCTCCAAAAGGGGGTAAGTAATGTCATAGGGTTGTCAAAATTTAGTAAGATGACACACGTAAAATGGTTAATGCAATGTCTAGCATGCAGTGAACACTCAAAATTATACTGTCTGCTGCTAGCCTTCTCATTGCTTTGATATTATTTACTTTATGTTATAATTGCCAACTTCAGGCAAGCCATTCCATTTCACATAGCACTAATATCAGTAGAAACATTTCTTTTGTTTTACTTAAACCAGCCACCAGTGGGTGATACTATATGAAGAAAGGAGATCTTGGAAATAGTTGACCAGTTTGAAAACTATCACGAGTCCAAAGATACTAAAGACCTAAACTGGGACTCACATGCTACCTCGGAATAGAGGAGAGGCAAGTGCAAAAGAATTCATGTAAGAAAACGTACTTGGATTTGACCACTGATTAGACATGAGGGGAGAAAGGACTCTGAAGTCATCAGAAATGGGGATCACAAGAGAAACAGATTTGGGAAAGAAAATGAAGAGTAGATTTTAAGTTATGAAATTCATGGTGGATTAAGTAATTCGATCATAAGGTTTTACTATAATAAAGAGGTCAGCCACCAGATTGCAAAGAAATGTAGACATTTTTGAGTGGTAAGAAAGTGGGAGAAGACATTAAGAAATTTCATATTAAAATATAGTGGCAGGTTTAAGAGAAAAGTACAGTTTTAATGTTGTTGGGGTAGAATGAAAGATATTTAAACAGCTTTTAGACTTGGGAAGGTCCGTAAAGAATCAAGAGAAAGGTTGGAGATCTAGTGGAATAAGGAAGTGGAATACAGTTATGGAGAAGCTTATCTTTGAGAAGATGAGAATGCTTTTCCCCTGAAATCAGAGTGGGACAAGGAGAGAATAAAGGGGAAGAGGGCAGGATTTTTCTCAGTAGTTACAGTCTCAGTAAAGCAAGAAGCAACACGGACAAAGGCAGTGTCAGAAAGTGTTCTTTGACGTGAGGAGTCAAAATTGTGGGAAATAAATGTGTTAGGAAATGTGAAAGTAGTCAATCACGTAGAAATAAAAGCATTCCTGAAGCAAGTATGGAACACCCAAAAGAGGGTCAACCACGTACATTAAGCTGGGGCAGTCAGTAGAAGGACTAAGCTTGGTTTGGTGTTCAGTTTCTCTACTTCGTGTAATTCACTACCAGTTACATCATAAATTCAGCGTATGGGGTTTCTACTTCTGTCTCAGGTACTTAATTAGAATGGAATATCCAATGTGTTGCTGGAATAAGTTTTTAGAAACAGGATCTAAAAGATAATGGAGTCCAGTCCCCCCTCTAAGAAACTGATGCTTAAGAGGGTGGGAAGATGCCCCCCTCCCAAGGTCATGCTGCTAGTTTGCAGCTGACTAAAATCCTAGTCAAGCTGCTACCTGCCTTTCTGCTACCTTTTGAGGAGCTGTGGATTTTCCAATGTTATAACAACAATCACTGGCAGCACTGAGACTATTCGGGTGGCCCAAGCGCAGAATAATGCCAGTTGAACCAAATGCTACCTTCAAGAGTTTCTTACCTCTTAATTAGGATATGAGATGCTCTTGTTCTTAAAATCCAAATTGCTGGAGGCAGACTTTCTAGAAGTCTAGTCTGATGACACTCACAGACTACTACCTGTATTTTTAATAGACTTGTTGCCTCTCTGTGCACTTGTGCTCAGTTTTAATCATTCACAGAAAAAGGGTCAACTAACCTTTGACAGAAGACTGTGACTGTATGTTATGGTAAATACACATTAAAACAAAAACGAAAAAGCCTTCAATAATGTGAAATGCTGATTACTTTTGGTTTTCTTCCATTCTGGATCATTGTATCCGTCTTTTTCCATCTCTTGTCTAGTGGCACAGTTGAATGAGTCCAGTGCAGTACAAAAGGCATTCGATGAGGAGTCAGAACTTGGCATTTGTCTGGTTCTGTCACTGATTATCAGGGCTTAGACACTTCTTGGGCTCTCTTTTGCTTGTGTGATAATTCTTTCTCTGCTCAGAGTTTATTGCATGGAAAACTGAAATAGGTAAATAAAAATCGTAAGCCCTGTGCAAATGTATAATGCAGAAATTTATTGTGTTTGGCTTCAATTTGCATTGGTTCTGTAGGAATGGTTCGTTGTGCAATGATGTGTTGCAAAATATAATGGTAGACCTAATGGCTTAAATCAGTATGTCTTGGGAATTGAATAATTGGTCATTCAGAGATATTCTAATTTTTAAATGATCCTTTGAGCACCACGTATTCATTCCACAAATATCTATGGAGCACCTACTATATACTAGGTTATAAAGAACTGTTTATTACCATAAGACCTATATTTTGTCTTAAAATCAATGAATATTTACTTCACCACTTTAAGTATAGTTAAGTGGCATAATCTGCTCTCTGCTTGAAAAAAAATGATAGTGCTATAAAACAAAATTGGAATTTGTCTATAATATACAAGTATCAACTGAGATGGTGTTGTAAAGGATAAACCTAACTAGGAGAAGAAGGCCAAAATGCCTAAGCCTTTATTTTCCTGAAAAACTTGGTTTAAGAGGGTATTTGAAATGCTTTGTGATCACAGTGGAAAAGATTTACACTCTGGATTTTTAAAACATGGTGAAGTTTAGGATTTTTTTTTTTTTTTTAAAGAACAGAACATTTCTGTCATTTTATTCATAAGAAGGTTATGTGAGATCAAGTTGACTGCAAAGCCTTGAATCTGACCTTCGGTAGTTCTGTTAGCAACGGGACCCCTGCATCATGAAAGCATTAAGTCCTCAGAAATGTATCTACTAGAGATGCGTAATTTTGGTGGCCCATCTGGTCTGATTTTAGCTTCTCAACATTTGTCTAAGAGCCAGGACAGGGGAAAAAACAACAACAAAAATTTCATGCAGCATACTTGTCAAGAAACGCATTTCATAAATCACTGATATTTTGACTCACAGGATACAAAGAATTTCTATTACATTCTGTTACAATTCAATAATATAACATTTGTTTCCAGTAGCAGTTAGTGTTTTGGCTGGAACAGCCTCCTTCACTCATTCTGTTTTCTGCTACTTTGGAATGGGGGAATGGAGCCCTGAGCACAGCTTTCACTAGAAAGGAGCAAGCTAATCAGTGATCGCAAGCCTTTCAGTGGTTTGTGCCTAGTGAGAAAGTAGGCTGAATATACAAATGCATCTCATCTCTCTTTATTAAACTACAAACCTCCTGCTGATTTCATGAACATACTACCTGTACACCAGACCCCCAACTTAGAAGAGCCCAAATTTGATTTAAAGCTCTGCTGTCACTTTCTTAAGATTCTTGATAACTTTTGAACAAAGAGTCTACATGTTCATTTCGTATTGAGCCCCACAAATTAGGTAGCCAGTTTTGCTACTCATCTCTACACACTGGGATTGTTCTGGATCATCAAGAGCTTAGGCTTGAGATTTAGAGAATGTCCAATAAATGTTTTCAGAATGAGGAAAATTCCTGATTTTTTAAAGCTTTAAATAAAAGCAAGTAACCTTAATCTTACTCCATTTAATTTAGCTGATGTGAGGAGTGGAGGAAAGGTACTACACTTTTGAGGAAAATTTTAAGATATAAGAAAGACCCAAAAATAGTTTACCCATCCCTATGTTTCCATCATCATAACATGGCAGCTACTATTTTATTCTATTAACTTAGTGTTTATTTAAAAATAAAAAACAGATGAAGTTTACCTATTGACCCCACCTCAAGTCCTATTTTTCTCCTCACCTCACTGGGAGTTAAAGTACTATCATAAATGTTGTATCCTTCCAGTATTTGTTATCCCTTTACAGTGCCAGGAATAATATTTGGTAACATATTTCGTATGTCTTAATATTTATGTAAATGATAGGAAACGATATGCACCAATCTGTAATCTGTTGTTTTTATTTGTTATTTGTTATTTTGTTTCTAAAATCTATCCACATTGATACATGTCGTTCTCCCATTCATTCTCTGTATATAGTAGTATACTGTACTTGATCTGCTACCCCACTTACAGAGGCTGTTTAAAGTAGAACCAGAGGAGTCTTTCTTTATATTTCGATTCTGCCACTGCCACTGGTACAAGTCAGTAGCTGGGTGACACTGGGCAAGTTAAGTGAATGTTCTGAAACTCCATTTTCACATTTGTAAAATGAGATTAATAATTTATACCAGTTAAGATGTTTTCGTGACAATTAAACCAGGTAATATATGTAAAACCTATGTTCAAAAAATAGTAGTAGGGATTATTGTACACATATATATGTGTATATTTATGTATATATGAGTGTTATGAAGTCCTAAGTAAATACATAACAGTGATATTGAATTGGCATTGTTTAACTTTTTTTTATTGTACTCTTGGCTATTGGTCTTCTTTTTTATAATAAAAACAGCTCAACCTTAAAATGCAGTACTAAGTACATCTTAGTCTTAGGTTGTTTTTTTTACAAAATTGGATGATATTACCTCTAACATATCCTCCATGGATGAAAAAGCCTAAATTCATACAACTATGAAACTACCATATTATTTATAAAATGGCACCTATGTTCCACTCTATGTATAATTGGAAAAGAATAGTGTTTTCCAACTTTCATCTTGCAAAGCAGCAAATAGTAGAATGAGAATTCTGGAATTCTATCAGGCCAAAACTGTGCTGCTGCAAAGACCCCAACTTGCAATGAGAAATTAAAAACCTAAGCACACATTAAGCTTAGTTTTTTAATGTTCTCTGCAATTTTGTAAAAACTTGGAAGAGAAGCCAATATTACATAGTATCCCAAGTTGGTTGAAATCTGTAATGAAGTAAGAAACTTGAAATAACATTCTGAATCCCCCTGTGATTTTAAAGCATGTATTCTGGCTATTCAACAGATTTTATACAATTCGCTATCGAGAAAAGGATAAAGAAAAGAAGTGGATTTTTCAAATCTGTCCGGCCACTGAAACAATTGTGGAAAATCTAAAGCCAAACACAGTTTATGAATTTGGAGTGAAAGACAATGTGGAAGGTGGAATTTGGAGTAAGATTTTCAATCACAAGACTATTGTTGGAAGTAAGTACCTAGAAATGTGTGTTTCAGTAAGCTTTTATAATTTTTTCTTAGTTACCTAATTTTTGATTATGTTATTCATTGTATAATATGAAATCAGATAATTCCTAAGCTCTAGTATTTACGAAAATATAGAAGCAAACAGGATATATTGAGCATTGATATTTCAGAATCTTTTGTTATAAGTGATTTATAAAATAAGTAATAAAGATTCGATGCCTCCATTGATGTCATTGGCTATTATATTATAGTAGTTTAAAATCAATCCCTGACCTGCAAACACCGACTGAACCAGAAAAACAATAACATGTACCAGTGTTCAGAATGGAAAGCTAGACCAGTAGAGGTGCCCAAAGAAAGATTTTCGGGAACCTTGAGCTTTCTTCCAGTCATCCCGTCATTAAAATTTCATAGGCATCAGTGTTTAAAATTATAGCAATTAAAATTATACATCCAAGTTAGAGGATGAGTTGAAATTGTCTTTATAATGATTAACTAGAGTTGACTTAGGAGCCAGGAGAATAGAAATAATGTCATTTTTCCCTTGTCTCATCAGGTAAAAAAGTAAATGGGAAAATCCAAAGTACCTATGACCAAGACCACACAGTGGTATGTAACAGTTTATTTTCAAGAATGTTTTTTAAAAAAATTATATCTGCATTGTTAAGGAAATCATCTTATTAAAAGATACTGAAATTAGATTGACTAGCTATGAAACAGTGGATAAAGTACTTAGTTTTAGGAATTAGTTTCTTTTTCTTAATACTAAGTAAAAGCATGATTTCAAATCATCTCTGATTTGTTTGAAGTTCTAAAATTCTGAGATTCAATGTAGCTTATTCTAGTGTTTCAGTATTCTGGGTATTTCAAGGTTATACATATTATCTTCTGTCGATTGCTTTTTAATATAATGTTTTAAGAGCAAATTGATACATGCTTTATGTACATTGCTACAGCTTAAACCTTTCCTTTCTATTTTCTGTCGTACCCTACTTAAAGGAGCCAGTCTTTTTCGCAATGATGGAGCAACAAGTTTGATTTTGTAAAATGCCCAGCCTCTGTTCAGTTCAGACAATGTTTGTTTTACAAACCAGGCATTTCCCCATGAATCAAAAAACATCCTTTTCTCTCTCACTGCAACCACTTGGTTTCTCATGCTCTCTCTCCTTCCACTTTTCAAAATCTATTCTCAGGAAGCATCATGTTAAGTATACACCCCACCTGGGATAACTGTAAGTCACTGTTAGAGCCACCACAGACATGTTCGCCTTTCGAATCTCATACCCAGTGATTAGTTTGGTGCCAAAATAATTGCAGCTTTTGCCGTTAAAAGTAACAAAGGACATTATATTACCGGGCAGACAGAGGAGGCACTTCAGTGAGAAGAAGGGAATTTGATGCTGGCTTTGGTCCCTAGATATTGGAAGTATCTTACAGTCAATTGAATGTGCGAAGACTATTTGTGGGTGGAATTTTGCTCTCTGAGATGTGTGCTTGAGGTGTGCGGCCGAATATCTTTTTATGTCTAATTAAGTAGTCCACAGAATAGCCCCATGGATCCTGTGGCCCAGTCTGGGGAAAAAAATAGTAGTATGTAATTCACTGGGATTAAAAACAAAAACAGGGCCAGGCGCGGTGGCTCAAGCCTGTAATCCCAGCACTTTGGGAGGCCGAGACCATCCTGGCTAACACGGTGAAACCCCGTCTCTACTAAAAAAAATACAAAAACCTAGCCGGGCGTGGTGGCCGGCGCCTGTAGTCCCAGCTACTCGGCAGGCTGAGGCAGGAGAAGGGCGTGAACCCGGGAGGCGGAGCTTGCAGTAAGAGGAGATCCGGCCACTGCACTCCAGCCTGGGCAACACAGCAAGACTCCGTCTCAAAAAAAATAAAAATAAAAATAAAAACAGAAGGTTGGTTTTGGTGACAGAAAATAGTCTTAGATAAAGTAGAACTGACTAAAAGTCTGCCTAAGGCAAATGTTGTTTATATGGTTTGAAATGGCAGAAAAGTGTGTTCATTGTGAAATTATTAAATAATTATGAGATTGTTATAATTGCTAGGAAAATATTTTGATATATTTCAGATATTAATACAAAAAAGAGATTGCTGGTAAATTCTTAGGCCTATTTTTTTCTCTTTTTTTTTTTAACTTGTCTGTTTAGTTGGTTTTTTGTTTTTAGGTTTTGCTGCTTTTCAAATTGTCTAATACTTAAATATTTAGAATATTAAGTGGGAAAAGAAGCATTAACAAGGTTACCTATAACAAAACTACCTCTATAAGGGTAGTATAAAACCATTAATAGTCTGGTAAAACTTTAGAGCATCTTTTGTTTTCTAAGCATGTTTTCATTACAAATTAAAATCGTACTATATTTGCAATTTTCTATCTTGCTGTTTTCACTTGGTCAAAATATGTTATGAACATATTTCATGTCATCAAATGCTCTTCATAAACATAATTTTAATTGCTATGTACTGTATCATATAAATGCATGATTATTAAGTTTCCAATTTGTAGGCATTTAAGTTATTTCTAATTGTTTTTAAATTGTGGATGATGGTATAGTCAGCACTTACGTTTATGAACACTTGTGATAAAGCTTTGTTCACAATGCTGATCATTTCCTTAAAATAGATACTTAGAAGAGGAATTAACAATTCAGAGTTTTAACATTTTTAAGCCTTCCTAGTACTATGGTCAGATTTCTTTCCTGAAAAGTGGTACCAATGTATAAACTTGGCAGCAATGTATCAGTTTATGTTGCTATACCCTCATTGCCAACTTTATATATTTTCATCACTAAATTTTTGGCTAATGTAATAGCTTATAATTGTTACCTTAATTTTTATTTCTTCAATTGCTGATGAAGCAGTAGTTTCTTCACTTGTTTATTAGCCAATTGTATTTTCCATTTAATGACGTTCTCTTGCAGTTCTTTGTTTGTTGGGTGTTTCATGGGTTCTTTTTAGAACTATATAGTGTAAGACTGTATACATTAAAGAAACATTGACCTGTTGATGATACTATCTAGAAATATTTTTCTCACATTTGTTATTCCTTAAGTTTGCTCATAGACATTTTTGAAATAGACAACTCATGAAATCTCCTTAACCAAATTATTAGACTTTTCCATTGTGATATCCTCAGTTGCATTATATTTTAGAAAGACCCTCCGTCTCTAGAGAGCAGATAACTATTTCTCCCCTTTCTTTTCGTTTTGTAAGTGGTTTGATTTTATAATAATTCTGTGAACTTTATTTAACTATGGTATATAGGAAGGTTCTGTATTGATTAGCTGTGTATTTTTCCCCCAAATAACCAACTGGCTTAGTACTGTGTATTTATGTATTGAATTGTGCCTCTCCCTAAGGTCCCTTCACCTTTGTCTCTTAAATCCAGTCAACATTGTGTAGGAAAGGTAGATCTGCTGTACCTCACAGGCAAAACAGTGGGATAGAACTGCTCTTTCATCCTCTTCTAGAACAATCCTCACTCTTTGTTGTGAATGGTTTCCTAGGAAGCATACATTGTCTCCTTTCCTCTTGGCTGTCACGCTTAACCTTTCATGTGACTCCATGATATCATTTCTTTCATTCCCTCTTTTCAGCTATCATATCCCAGTAATTTGTATTTGTCTTGGCAGGATATTTCATTTAGGATGAGTTACTCAGCAAGATTGGGAAAGATGATTGACGTTTTACTCTCAGGGAATTTAATTTTTTTTCCCCTCAATATAAGCAGCCATGATAGGAAGGGCTAGGAAGCAACTTCCTTCCTCCATGACACAGAGCCAGGCATTTTATCACTTCAAGCTGTGAGGTGGAGTACCCTGACTGCAGCCAGCTCTGATGAGTTTTAAACTCTTCGTTATTTCCAAAGGAAAAACCAAATTCATTGAAAAGATATTTTAAGCCTTCTTTCAGAAGCTTTATTATTTCCTTCTGGACAACAACAAATATATGTAAACTTACATCTCTGCTCTCAGGTAGCTCTGGGACATGGAGAAGTTGTAACAGAACTGCATGGGATAACTTTGACCATCTTATGTGACCACATAGAATTGATTCTGAAAACTGGTTTGATACTTTAGAGGTACATTTTAGTCCAAAGAAGTCTGTACCCAATTATTCACCCATTTCTTCTCTGAGACCTATCTTAGAAGGCTATTTCAAGAGATATGAAATTAATTTCACATGTTTTGCTTTCTGGATTTCAATCAAAAAGACACATTGAAAGCTTCTTTTATTCATATGAACGTGGTTACACCTGAAACCTTAGAAGCAGCAAAAACTCTTGAACACCTTTCAATAAGAGGTATTCAGAATGGAAAAAAAAAAACAACTTGAACTTTAGGCTATACATTTTAAAGATAAATAAATTTCAGGTCAAAAATTTGAATATAAAATACAATCCATCCTATCCTTCTGTTTACACTATATATTGTAATTCATGTATCTAGATATGTGTTCCGCTGGCAGGCAAGCCCCAGTGCAGTTGTGCCCGGGATATATAGCAGGGAATCTCTTCCGGTTGGCTAGTGCCTTTGTTCTACCAATTGGTAAATGTTTTCAGTATTGCTGCTACCTATACCTCTAGAAAAATCAGAGAAAGGGCATATGCAGAAACAAAACTGTGATTCTTTCTATATAAAATGAATCACTTGAGATCCATATGATTGAGGAAGAAAAAGATACATTTATCATGATGCTTGTGCTATTTTTTTTTTCCATTTAGAGCATGTAGGACAGTTTTTTTTTTTTTTAAGGTAAAACCTAATGTTTACTGTTAGGTTTTATTATTTTAAAAAATAAAGAATGGGCCGGGCGCGGTGGCTCAAGCCTGTAATCCCAGCACTTTGGGAGGCCGAGACGGGCGGATCACGAGGTCAGGAGATCGAGACCAGCCTGGCTAACACGGTGAAACCCCGTCTCTACCAAAAAAATACAAAAAACTAGCTGGGCAAGGTGGCGGGCGCCTGTAGTCCCAGCTACTCAGGAGGCTGAGGCAGGAGAATGACGTAGACCCAGGAGGCGGAGCTTGCAGTGAGCTGAGATCCGGCCACTGCACTCCGGCCTGGGCGACAGAGCGAGACTCCGACTCAAAAAAATAAAAATAAAAAAAAAAATAATGATGGCTAATATTTTCAAACATTTTCTATATTTGGAAAAAAATGTGTTACTTAACTAGCTAACTAAACAAAATCAATATTTGACGTATGTAGCACTTATTAACAGATTTTTAAAAGCAAATTTAATTATTTAAATCTTCCTAGAATCAGTGTTCTCCAAAAATATGACATGTGTTTTTATCTTTTTTATTTTCCGTCAGAGATCCACCCATATTTTAAGAAATCCACAGTTATCACCAAAAAGAGAAGTGGTACCAATTGTTAACATGTAACAATTATCAAATGATTGATGTGAACTGAGAGATTACCTTTATGGTCCCCAGCCACACTTTATGACTGTGTACAGTGAATGTATGAGGCATCCTTCCATCCTTAGCAATCCTTGTCTTAAGCAGAAACTTGAAAAACTTACATGTAGGCAAACTATTAATATATCATCAGAAGTTAAGTGTCTGATTCCTCCTCAGTTGACCAGAAATTTGAAGCCTTTTGAAAGTAGGACATTAGATTCACTTGTATCCAGATGTTAGATTGAATCAGTATGTTTTGTAACTTTCATTAGAACATCCTAAAAATGAATTAAAACCAGAATCTAATATGCCTGAGTTCTCATGTGGTTTGACTCTTGAGTCATTGAAATTTGACTTTGAGCCACTCTTTTAGCCACTACCCAAATGGACAGCTCCTCTTTATCTCAGGGCCTGAAAATAATGTTAAACCTACAATAATAATCTGATGCCACGAAGATGTCAAATGGACAAACCTACAACAAATAACATCCTTAGTTATCACTAACTTTATTACGGCTAATTTTCAATATACTATCAGGAGGAAGTTAGGGTAACGCAGGGTGAGATGCAAGTTCCTTGTCATGTGTGGTGGTAGCAGCGGCTACTGCTGCTGCTGCATGTATTTCTAAAGAAGCATACACCTTCCCTGGTCATGGCAAGAAAGCATGCTGCATTTGTCTCCAGGGCATCACCCTTCACACTCGAGTAGTCTCTCCTCATTGAGTGTCACCAACTCAATGAGTTGCCGCAGTGTCCCAGAAAATTGGTAAAAATAAACGATCTTAACCAGACTTCTGCTCAAGGCATAGCCCAACCTGCGTTTCTAATGCACAGGATATCTGGAAATGAGAAAAAAAAAAAATCTGTTATAGGGCAAGAAAGAAATATGCTTACTTCCTGGCATTTAGTAAACACTGAAAGACGAGAACTATGGAAGGAAGAAGCGGTGGAGGTTTGCAGCAAGAATGGGGGAATCGGCAAGCCGTAGAGAAAAGAGAGCCAACAAGGGAATGCCTAAGAAGGAAAATCGCTGCCAGAGTGGTGTCTGAGGACAGCAGTATTGTGCTGAGGCCACACCAGCCAAAACAGTATGGAAGCCTGCGGGGCTGTCACTGCCTCCTTCCCATTTCCAGGCCCCACACTGTCTGCACCTGTGACTCTGATATACATTAATAGTTGTTAGTAATAACAAGCCTAGAAAAAGTAAGGAAAGGACGGCAAGGAAATATTTTTTTAAAACATTGTACATGAAACAGTTCTATCAAAATTGGATTGTAATTGGTTAAACACTACATCTTGGAAATTATCACAGTACTTCATTTTGCAGTGAGTGTGGTTAACAAACTTTTCCCTGCCCTTTTATTTGATAAGAAGACATAGGAGGGGATTCACGTTGTGAATTTCCAAATGGAAATTGTAGAGGTGTTGGCAGAGACAGGGTGAGCCACAGGACTTTCCCGATGCCCTTTAAAAACCCACCTGTAGAGATGCAGCTGTTTGCTCATTAGTACAGTCCTTGTGCGTCTTTGGATTGTGGATTAAGCAGGAGAGCATTTCTAGGCCTAGAAAACAAAATTGCATTCTGCAGCTAAATGACTTTTTAATTTTTGGCAGCACATATTGTACATATGTTCTTGTCACTTCAACTGAACACTGGAGTAAGAACTCAGAAACTTTGTTCCATTCATGTGAATAGCAGAATATTTTCCATTTGTCCTTCTCAAAAAATTGTTTGTTCAAAACAAATCATTACGACAAGGAAAATTAAACTGGTATAATGCCATTCAGTCAGCACAGCAACATGTAGGCTTTTCTACTCTAATGTGTTAAGTGTCTTGGAAAAACTTCGCGTTCAACAAAACGTGCACTAAGTGACAGGGCAAATAGAGGACAGGCCATTCAAATGCGTCTAGCTGCAGCCACAGCCCGAACAAAAATGATAATTAGTACATAGAAAAATAACGTGGCTCTCCTGCCTGGCAGCTCCCGTGTAGTTGAAGGTTGCCACGCCAAGCATTTAAAAGTCTTAGAAGTGTCAAACTCATGGAAGCAGAGAGTAGAATGGTGGTTACCAGAGAGTGAGGGGCAAGGGGGCAGTGAGGAGATACTGGCAAAGGGTAGGAAGTTTCAGTTAGACAGGAGGAGTAAGCTTTACAGTGCCATTGCATGGCAGGGTGACCATAGTTACTATTGATGTATAGTTCCAAATTGCTAAAGATAAATTTCAAATGCCTCGCCAGAAAAAAATGACCGGTAAAAGTGAGGAGGCGGATATAGTAATTCGCTTAGTTTAATCATCCTGCCTTGTGCACTTAGATGAGAACATCACATCGTACCCCAGAAATAGATACAATTATGAAAAAAGAAATGATTTTAAAAATAGCAAAAAATACAAGTTGTTTTAACATAGACAAATAAAAATTCTCAGAGGAGTTAGAGGTTATATGCTAGCAACTCTTTTGCTGGAGCGGGGCAGGTGAGAACTAGACAGTGCAGGCAGAGGAGCTGCTGGGGCTTCTCTTAGGGTGGGCTCGTGAGTGCAGAGTGCCAAGGATGGGCCTCGCTTTTCTCCCCTGGGGAAGGATTTCTGTGCAGTGCTCACATTTAATTTTTTTTTATAATAAAGCCAAAAGGGATCCTCCTGCCCATGTAACTGCAAAGCTGAGAGTTTGGTAATTTTTATCCCCCGCTGAATGTTATACTTATCTTCCTACTATTTCTCTCCTGTTGCCAAGAAAGAGTATGTCTAAATTATATCTGCATCATTCCTCTAGTTATCGATAGTGTATGAGCTCAGTTGCCATACAGAAGCATATGTGGTAGTTAAACAGATTGTTGATTAAAATAACTTTTTCTGATTATAAATGTAATTTGCCCTTATTAGAAATTTGGCAAATATAGAAAGGTACACAAAATGAAATTAATGTTGGCTTACAAGAACTCACTGTTTTAAGGAAATGGTGATTTATTTCCCTCTGGCCTCTTTTCTATACACATATTTATAAAATTGGGTTATACTGTGGATGCACATTTGTATCCTTGGTACTTATTTATATTCTGCATTTTTCCATTTTGTTAAATACAAGTCAAGTTTTTGAACTATCATTGAATAAAACCTCTACTTTTGGATAATAAATTTATTTTAAATTATCATAATAAACACCGTCTTTGATTAATTCCTTAGGCTGGGTTGCTAAGGAGGAAATCATTGAGTCAATGCATGCAGACACCCCTTTTAAAAAATAATCTGAGGATAGTAAACTTTTATTTGTTGTGATTTTTTAGAACATAAGAACCTTAATATAAGAAAAATAGCCAACAGTAAGCTTGGCGTATTGTCCCTTCTTTACCAGGGGTATATCACTTATGAAAATGGTAGTATATCAAAAAGTATATTTTGCTCACTACTAGGTGTTGGCCCTTGTAAGGGATTTGGTAATCAGGTAAACACCTATCTGGTAAGCAGCTCATATTCAGCACCTTCTTGATGATCAGCAGGTCTAGTATACGCCATACCGCCATACCTGTATCATGTATACAGGCTAAACCAAGTATCAAAAAGGGGACATCAATCTTGCCCTTTCAACTCAACTCTAATTCTCCTGTATACAATTTTCTGCCTTTCTCCTCACCTGCCCTGTGTCCCTCTAGTCTGTCTTATCTTTGGCCTCATGATTATGTCTAGCAATGACTCTGCTTTAAAGTCTACACCCATCCCTAATTCAGGCTCCTTTATGACATCAGAACCTCCTGTGGGACTTCTAAGGTAATTTGGGTGAAGAGAGGAAGCAGAGTCCTCTGGGATACATCCTTCTGATTCTGAGGTCCCTTGTGTATAAACACGTGCAGAATGGTTGAAAGTACAAGCTGTGGAATAAGAAATGTCTGGATCGGAGTCCTTGCTCTGCTTCCTTGAGCAATAAGTGCTTGGTGTTGGGAGCTCATGGTGGTTGTGGTAGCTGTTGTAACAGCAGCAGCAGCAGCAATTGGGTACACTCAAACAATTGATCTTGATAGGTTTTCAAAGATAATAGGTAGCTTAGCATCTTTTTGAGAGGAACTGTAAAAGCAATTTGGTGGTGTCATATCTCAAATGTAATGAAAATAAACTAATATTTAATACAGAAGATTTGGTTTCTTTCCATTGCAGTTTCTAAGTAAAGTGAACTAATGGGAGTTCTGAAGAAATTGCTTCTGTCAAACCTTGGGATATTTATGAGGGAAACCAAGTGAATCCAATAAAGTAGAGGCAGATGGATGTACTAACAATCTAACCAGCAACTTTTTTTAAGATGGAGTCTCGCTGTTGTCACCCAGGCTGGAGTGCAATGGCATGATCTCGGCTCATTGCAACCTCCGCCTCCCAAGTTCCAGCAATTCTCCTGCCTCAGCCTCCCGAGTAGCTGAGATTACAGGTGCCTGCCACCATGCCCGGCTATTTTTTTTTTTTTTTTTTAGTAGAGATGGGGGTTTCACCATGTTGGCCAGGCTGGTCTGACCCGCCTTGGCCTCCCAAAGTGCTGGGATTACAGGCGTGAGCTACCATGCCCCACCACCAGCAACTATTAAACCAGCGTCACAGGAGACTTCATTGAAGACAAGAAAGGGCTACTTCCAGTTTTCTGATATGTTTTAAAGAACAGAAAGTGATTCACAGTGACTGAAAAGCTGACTTTCTTCTTCTCTTTTCAGCCAGCATATGTCCCAAGGAAGCTAATCCCAATAACAATCATCAAGCAAGGTAATTTGTCTGCTCTGGAAATGTGTTTAGAGCAATCTTTAATATACTTTTAACTAAGGTAATCAAACATGGCACAAATTTTCTCAAATTTTTATTGATTTTTTTTTTTTTTTTTAGAAAAAGCTCAAAGAAAACATAATGGTCTAGTAAATTGGAAGTTAATGGATAATTTTGGCTCTTTTACCAATATGCCAAGCCTTGGGTTGGTCACACTGGTCAGACAACTAAGGACAAAGCAACCATCACAAGTATTAAATTTTTTAAAACAAGTTAAATATGTGGAGCTTTGCCCAGGATTGAGTTGTCATACTCAAAGAAATCCATTGATAGGATATTTTCATGAATGAAAATGAAAGCTGATTTAGTGGTCACTTTAAGGAAAGTAAAGACGTCCAGATTTCCAGAATTATAATGCCATTTCACTTCAGTATCTGATTGTTTTTGTTTTGGCTTCTGGTTTTTCAAATTATTAAAATCTATTATTTCCAGAAAGCTTCTTGGTAGAAGGGACAGAGCCCTTAAAAAAATAGTTCTTCATTTTCAGAAAACACGACATCCCAAGTGTATTCTCAAAACAGAGTCAGTGTTGATATTACTCAAAGACTCTGCTTTGAGAAAATAAGTTTTCTAAACTTTTATTGCTGGGTCGTCACCTCATTTTGTGCTAGTACTGATTGATTTGGGGAAAAGGAAGGCTTCAGAGAATAGAGTTAGGAAGAAAGTTTTCCAGTAATTAGAAAGGAACACCTTATGATAGAATAATAGCCTTTCATTAGTTAAAGGCACAGATGTTAAGGTAAGGTATGCCTTCCAACCCTTCTGTTGGCTACATAGCCAGCCCACTGAGTTGCTTTGTATTAATAAAGTTAGATCAAGGCTTTTCCAGCACAGATGACTTCACATTACTAGCTTCTTACTGCCTCATATTTCCCACCCCCTCACACAGTCTTTTTGTATTTCAACAGTGATTCAGAATGTTACTCACAAGGATTCAACTAAATCCCCAGAAAAAGCTCCCTTGGGAGGAGTGATACTAGGTGAGTAGATCTTGAAATCTGTGCCTAGATTAAGCAAATCAGGCTATCTTTTGAGCATAGGGCTTTTCTGGAGTTTTGCAGTGTGAGTAGTTCTGTTTAACTGATGTGGTTCACTTCCTTTCACTGTTGAGCATCCTGGCTGGTGTCCATTCCAGGCTAGGAGCCAAGCCACGCTATCTTTATCATGGTGTGTTAAAGAGATAGCTCTAG